CTAGAAAGGACTATAGAGGTCTTAGAAAATTAAAGTCTTCCTTTACAGGATAGAAAGTATCATCCATGAAGAAAGCTAGAAAGAAAAGCTTTAAGAAAAAGCATACAAGCCATGTTGAGGAGGAGAACCTGAGCTAGCTGAGTGTGAGAAAGAAAAAATTTTGAATTAAAAATCCTTTGAGATAGTGATTGAGGTAGTGATTTCCCATAGGCAGGATGATGGCCTCTAAAGATGCCTACATCCTGATTCCTAGAATCTGTGCAGATGTCCGCTTACAAGGTCAAAGGGACTTTGCTGATGTGATTAAGGCTATAGATCTTAAGGTGGGGAGATATGAGTTTTTCACTTCAGCAGGCCTTTCCTTACTGTAGTCAGAGGGAGGTGAATATGAAAGAAGGATCAGATACAAAATTGAAGGAAAAAGAGGATCATGAGCCAAGGAGTGCAGGTGCCCTCTGGAAGTTGGAAAAGGCAAGCTAAGAGCTTCCAGAAAGCAGCACATCTCTGCTGACATCTTTATTTTAGGCCAGTGAGACTCATTTCATACTTGTGATCTACAAAACTAAACAAAACTTGTTGTGTTGCAAGCCCCCAAGTTTGTGGTGATTTATTACAGCAGTAATAGGGAACTAATACAGTGACTGTGGACCATCAAGATACAAAAAGTGCATTCTTTGTCTTAGAAGGCTTTTAGAAGGACTCCCAGTTTACTACTGGACCAAGAGAAGGGAACGTACTAGGTGTCAGAGAACAGGATTTGAATTTTTGGATCTTATTTTTTGATAACCCAGTGATGAAATCCTCCTAGAAGACGGGTAGGAATCCTTTGGTTTTCTAAATGTGAAGAGTATCTGAAAGAGAAACACATGGAGGAAAAGAATCACCACTATAGAGGAGTCAGTGATGATGATTATATTTGATAATTCGTAGGAGGCGGTAAGGACAATGAACAGTGTATGTTGCTTCAGATATCTCTTCTAGAAATAAGTAAATAAATCTGAAAATTAAGTGTGAGAGTATAGCTAAAAATGTCAAAGACTCCTTTTGTCTCCTCCTCCCCACAAACCACTTAATAGTCATTTGCACATATTCGTTGTCATGTCTTTCTCCTGTGAGACTCTTAAGACTTCTGAAGGTAAGGATTGCATCTTAACCGTCATGGTGTCACTAGCATCATGCATGTAGTGGGCACTTTAAGTATTCATTGAATAAATGAATGAACAGTTCATGAAATAATGAACATGAAGGAAAGAGTCATGTGACCTATTTCGAAGGTCATTGTGGTGATGGTCATTTGTTTGACAGTACTGTCTAAAAGGTAAGTGGCTAAATGGAACCAAGCAAAATAATAAAATAAAAACTTTTAGAAATGAACAAAATTATGGCCTCATATCATTAGTAAGTAATCAGGGAAATAAAATCATCATAACAGTAAAACACCTGTGGGAGATTTTTTGGTCATCAAATTGATCATCTTAAGATTGACTATTTATTAATGTGAGATAAAAGGACAGTCTGTAACATTATGCATCAAGTATAATTGGTATAGTTTTGTTGATGAGCAGGCAGTTTGGTTGTATTTATCAAAATGTTTCAGTTAAAGGAAATTTTGTTTATTTCTATGCAGTGCTCATAAACACGTTTGATGACAGCTAGAAGGATGTTCATAGCAGTATTTTCATTTACACCTTCCTTTCTCCTTCAAAACAAGGAAATCTTTATTCATCAGTATAAAATGACTTTGCACATTTAATATTATGTTCCTGATAAGATACAAGCACGATGTGAACACTGGTTTCTTTTAACTTTAAAAAGAATTACACCATGAATGTCTACTGTGAGAATCTAATCAGAAAAAGATGTGTATTTCTGACACTTGGGATGTGAGATAAATGGAGAGACAAAGGTTTCAGAGTAGCCAACTATTGTTTTGTATTTCATAGGACCAGATGTGCCTTCAAAGGTGCGATGAGAAATTTAAATTTAATTCTGGTACCTTTAGTGTCATATTTAAAACCCATATCCTATTATCTCCTTAGAGACAGTCATTTTTATTCTAAATGTATGTGTGTGTGATTTGAAAATGGGGCACTTCCATATGGCAGCACTATAGGGTTGGTTGAGTATGCATTCCTCACTAAATACATAGTTCTCAACTAGAGTTATTTGTTGAGTTATCAGCTCTCAGAATTACTTAAGCTACTGAGTATATACATTTAGCACCACATATTTAAGCACTTTGTATATTCTTATGTTTGCTGCTATCTAGAGAAATTTATAAGGGTGTAAGAGAATGAGAAATAGGACAGAGTACAAAATGGATGCATAGTGAGAAAACAAAAATGAAACAAAAGTTTATTGCTTTTCACTATTTCATGGAGAGTGAAAGTCGAATGCTGGTTTACTCAAGAGATACCACTCTATGCAAAGGCTGTGTTACCCACATCTACACTTGAAGCCACTCTGAGTCTCTTCAGGCAGCATGATCAAGTGAATGGAACAAAATTCTCTGTTTCATAAAACTCCCAAGACGGAAACCTACTTTTCCCTAACAACTACCACAGTTCTGGGCTAAGTCTCTTTGAGACTGGTTTGCTGTAGGTCTCCTATGTGTATGCTGTGAGTTTAGAGGAGATGAAGTGATTTTTTTCATGGGGTCAATACAGAAGGCAATCAGAGAAGGTGGGCTTTCTCCTAGGATGTAAATGGTGACAATTATAAGAAATGATCTGTGTTCTGTACTGCCGTACATTCAATATCAGATTATGGAAAGATAGATCAAGTAACCTGAGGCAGATGGCTAGAGACCACTGTAGACATTGATCACAGCTCTAAAAAGAGAGAGCCTCTTCTTGAATTGGTGAGCTGTGGAGCAAGGAGACTTTCTGACCTATGCTTTACCGAGGGTAACTAGTGTTGTGTGCACTGGATGTTGACCTGGAAAAGCTGGACAAAGAACTAGGAGCTTTTGTGGGAATTTCAGAGGTACTAGCTTCCATCCTTTATAGTTCAGAGATTTGTGTGTTGGCAAGAAGCTGCAGAAATCACTTCAGAGAGAATTGTTAAAAGGTGCTCCTTCCTCTAGGCAAATTCCCCACCCCAGAGCACAAGGCTTAAAGACTAGAACATGGGTCGGATTCGGCCTTAGCCATCCTTGTGTAGGTAGGGTCCTGCCATTTACAGCGACGCAGTCAGAAATTCCGGGTCTTGGATCAAAAAGCCAGAAAGGACATTTTATGCCTGTGTCAGTTCCACATAGGAGCCTGTAGGCTGCAAACATCCCTCCTATCATGATGAGAATTCATCGTCTTTATGAAGCTGGCTTTGACTCTTCCAGCCTGGCCCTTTGTCATGCTTTTTCTCTTGATACCATGTTTACTCCCTACCTCTGTTTCTCTCTCTGCCACTTCCTGTGCTTGACAAACAACTTTGTACCTGGGATTGAGTTGTCTGAATGAGAGATTGACTCTACCACTTTATTCATTCAGTGCCCTGGGAGGTCTGGCACGTGCCAGGCACCAATATTGGGGGCACACGTCCTCAGTGTGCATACACTGGGTTTTGGACAGTTTCTGTATGTGGTACATGTTACAATTTATCATTGCTTATGGAGAAGGCTAGGGATAATATCCTTTGTCATGATCAGCAGCATTGTGCTGTAATAAAGCAATACTTGGTGAGTGCAGGAACTTTTATGTATGTTTTACAGTAAAAGTTTTATTATAACTTCAATTAATTGCTAATTTTAAAAGCCAGTGATTATTTTTCATAGACATTTTCATTTTAATATTAGCATCTTTTTTTTTTTTTTTGAGATGGAATCTCGCCCTGTCGCCCAGGCTGGAGTGCACTGGTGTGATCTCGGCTCACTGCATCCTCCACCTCCAGGGTTCAAGTGATTCTTCTGCCTCAGCCTCCCAAGTAGCTCGCACTACAGGCAAGCGCCACCATACCCAACCAATTTTTTTGGTATTTTTAGTAGAGACTGGTTTCACCATATTGGTCAGGCTGGTCTCAAACTCCTGACCTTGGTGATCCACCTGCCTCGGCCTCCCAAATTGTTGGGATTACAGACGTGAGCCACTGCACCTGGCCATCAGCATCATTTTTTAAAAACTTTTCTTATCACCTAAAAGATTGAGAAGGTCACAGTTGGTTGTGATTTGCATACCTTCACGTAAAGGGCAGCAGATGGTTCTGTCATATTCCCAAGTGAGTCTTCCATACATGCTGCCCACTTAAAAATATATTCTCCCATGGCCTTCATACCTAGGCAGGTACAGGGCAAGAGTCCCTTCTAACACTTAACCTGTCCATTGCTCCAGGAGAAATTTCACCATGTCTAGGGTACCTTCTCTGATGACCTTATTCAAAGGTGACTTTCTCCTCTGAACTCAAGGGAACACATGTAAGAAGCATTAGATTTGGGAGCATTTTATATTACTGCATAATAATTTTTAATGAGCAAGTAATAAACTGATTAGACCCAAATTCAACAGACTTTTCATATATCTTCAGTGTCACCAAAAACATAGCCTTAACTGTATGTTCCTGAACATAATGTTTTTAAAAAAATGATTATGAATGTTGCAGCCTGGTCTTGAACAGTATAATCTCCCTGTTTTAGTAAGTATAACTCCCTCCTTGGGTCTGGATCTTAGAAAGTAGTAACTGAAAGATAGCTGGTAGACTTTGACAGGTTTTGGGGGCGATGACAGTGGAATTGCAGAAATGTATTTTTAAGTTTACATGTCTTATTAATAAAGGAGACCATCTTTTTGTTTTGTTTTCTAAAACTTTTCCTTGTTCTTGAAAATACTATTTCAGAAACAAAGATTCCTAAGTAATTTATTTAACTTGATATTCTTATACCAAAGATTTCTGATAAGAAATGAACATTGCATTACTTTTTAGCTTACAGTTCTGTTTTTTTTGTTTTTTGTTTTTTGGTTTTTTTTTTCAGTTTATAACAGTCATTCTTGTGGGGGGGTATGTTTTAGGGCATCATTCAGAAGATAGTGGACAGTCACAAAGTAAAGCATGTGGCCTGCTATGGATTCCGCCTCAGTCACCTGCGGTCAGAGGAGGTTCACTGGCTTCACGTGGACATGGGCGTCTCCAGTGTGAGGGAGAAGTATGAGCTTGCCCACCCACCAGAGGAGTGGAAGTAAGATACAAACCTGCTTTGGTGTGATGCACACTTGATTTGTTTTGCTTTTAAAAACCATGCACAAGATAATAAATGTATATGCTTAATTTTCACACTGCTGCTTGTCATTACAACTCTGGTATAAACAAAATTGGTTAGTAATTATTAATCAGTGATCTCTTGTAGGCTTCTAGCTTTTAAATATTATTAACTATACTTTGAGCCATCTTAGTCTACTGTGATAGTCTTTTCTTAGCTGAATTCTCATCAGTGCTATTTTATTTCACAAACTTTTGCTCCCAGTAAAACTCAAACCCTATTTTTTTGTTTTACATTTTCATTTCTTGTCATCCTTTTATGTAGCAGCAGTTGATATCACACCTAAATACCTTATTAATGGGCTACGTAGCTTGTTTTACCATGCCCAGTAATCTAGCGCACCTACAAAGAATGAGTGTGTATTTGCTGTTCACGTGCAACATTAAAACTAGGAAGTAATCTCTTAGTGACTTCTGTCGAAATGTTAGGAAAATAAAATTATTTCAGAGTAAATTAAAAGAATGTCCTGTAAGTGTTCTTTTTCTTGTTCTCCCCTGTTTTTTTCTTTTTAACAAGCAACTCAAGATGGTGGTAGGAAATTCTACATCTAAAATACTTTTGAGAGGAGTGTAACTTGTAAAAATGGGCTTTCTTCTCTAGGTTCTGATTTTTATATGTAATGTTACAGAAATAAAGATAGTTGTAGGTTCAAGAGTACATTTAAAGGGTCAGTAACTTTCAAGGATCTAGACTGATTAGGGTAGACATTTTAAAAGAAAAGCATGTTTAGGTGGAATAATATTTTTTTCTTCTTTGCGACCGGGTCTTGCCCTGTCGCCCAGCCTGCAGTACGGTGGTATGAACATGGCTCACTGCAGCCTTGACCTCTTGGACTCAAGCAATTCTCCCACTTTAGCCTCCTGAGTAGCTGGGACTATAGGCACACACACCACACCCCACTAATTTTTTTTGTAGAGATGGGGTTTTACCATTTTGCCCAGACAGGTCTCAAACTCCTGTGCTCAAGCAGTCTACCCACCTTGGCCTTCAAAATGTTGAAATTACAGGTGTGAGCCACCGTGCCCAGCCCGAATAAATCTTAAGTTGAATAAATCCCTACCCCAGTTACAGAGTTCATCAAAGAAATACAGTAGTATTTTCAAATTCATCAGGTAGCTGGAACCAAGCTAACAAAATATTCCTTGAGAATATAGTTTGGTTGGTTCACATCAATGGCTAGAGAAGATGTGACCTCCAATTATTTAGTCAGTTATGGAAGTAAGCATTCCAAAACAAAGAATGTGTAAAAGTTAGATAAAAATACTGGCAGGGTTTTGTTTAGTTTTGTTTTGTTTGAGCCGGAGTTTTGCTCTTGTTACCCAGGCTGGAGTGCAATGGCGCGATCTCGGCTCACCGCAACCTCCACCTCCTGGGTTCAGGCAGTTCTCCTGCCTCAGCCTCCTGAGTAGCTGGGACTACAGGCACGTGCCACCACGCCCAGCTAATTTTTGTATTTTTAGTAGAGACAATGTTTCACCTTGTTGACCAGGATGGTCTCGATCTCTTGACTTCGTGATCCACCCGCCTCAGCCTCCCAAAGTGCTGGGATTATAGGCGTGAGCCACTGCGCCTGGCCTTCTTCTGTTTTTTAGAGATGGGCGTCTTGCTGTGTTGCTAGGGCTGATCTCAAACTCCCCTATTCAGACAATCCTCCTATGTCAAGGTACTTTTATTTAACACAATTCTATTATCTTGGTTTATATGTCAGATGCAAACTTTGTTATAAGGAAATTCTTAGTGCTCAAGAAAATGGTCATTGAATCTATCTAAGTATAGTAGGTTGTTGTTGTTACTGTTTTTTTAAGCCAGTTTATTTCACTTTTTTTCAAGTAAAATTGAATAAGCACTGACAGGATCTTGAATCCTCAAAAGGAAGAAAAGTTTAGACTGGGTTAGATAGAATTTCTCATCGATTGACTGTACTAGATTAAAGGGTGATCAAGGTACTACTGGTCATGATGATGATACTGGTCATGATGATGATGATGATGATGATGACGACGACGACAACACTGATGCTTTGTGACTGAGCCAGGGACTCTGCCAGCTATATGCTGCTTACACCAGATAACTTAAATGTATATTTTATTTGACTGTCCCCAAACCATATGAATTAGCGACTACCATTGTTCTTAATTTACAGATGAAAACAAAATTGGTAAACTTGTAGTTACATAGCTTTGATTTGAGTTTAGCTGTCTGGCTTCAGAGTACAGGTTTTAAAAATGAGATTGCCTATCTCAATATAGGAATAATGTTGTAAAGGAAAATGTAGGTAGGCTTTTTAAGATTAGTAAAAGTTGGCTGGGCATGGTGGCTCACACCTGCAATCCTAGGACTTTGAGAGGCCAAGGCAAGCGAATTACTTGAGGTAAAGAGTTCAAGACAAGCCTGGCCAACATGGTGAAACCCTGTCTTTACTAAAAATATAAAAATTAGCCAGGCATGGTGGCAGGTGCCTGTAATCCTAGCTACTTGGGTGGCTGAGGCAGCAGAATCACTTGAATTCGGGAGGTGATTGTTGCAGTGAGCCAAGATCATGCCATTGCACTCCAGCCTGGGTGACAGAGTAAGACTCTGTCTCAAAAAAAAGATTAGTGAAAGTTACATGCGTAATAGGTGGAGATGATGACAAAAGAAAATGTGACAGATAAAGTGATGAGGTATTTTCAAGAGTTACGAGGGTTAATACTGATGGTTCTATATATTTAAAAGGGGAGGAATTTAAGTGTCAGCAGGGAACAGGAGAGTATAAAAAATAACTGAGAGAATTTGGATGGATCCAAATAGAAGTTCTAGAAATCAAAGGATACATAAAATAGCAGAGTAGACATAGCTGAAAATTAGTAAAGAAGACAATAGAAAATTTCCCAGAACATACCTCAGAGAGATTAAAAGATAGAAAATGTGAATGTGAGTTTATGTAACATGAAGAATGAGATGGTCAACTCATTTCTAATAGAAACTTAAGAAGAATAGAATAAAAAAGCATGGGAAAGAGGAGATAATTTCAAGAGATAATGGTTGAGAATATTATAGAATCAATGAATGACATGAGCCTTCAAATACAGGATTATCCTAAAATCCCAAACAGAGTTAATAGAAACTAAGTTGATGCTTTGGCACATTGTATTAATCGTAAATTATTGTTATACAGAGAACAAGACAGGATGTTAAAAGCACCTAGAGAAAAATTCAGACTTTTCAACATCAATAATAGATGCCAAGAAAATTGTGGGAAAATATGTTCAAAGTGGTGAGGAAAGTAGCTGACAACCTGTATTTGTTTGCCCAGTTAAATTGCCATTCAAGAACAAGGTGAAATAGAGACGTTTTCCTTAGAGGATTTTACCACTAGAGGAACCTCTGACAAAAACACTTCAGTAAAAAGGAAAATGATCTCTCAAGGAGAGTCTCAGATGTGAGATGGAAAAAATTGGATAGGCCTAAATATGCATTGACTCTATGAAACAAAATAGTAACTGATTTTTGATTTGAAGGACTAACACATAAAACATAAGCAGGAAGGGAACAAAGTATGTCAGGCAAATAGTAACCAGGGGGAAAAGCATTATACCCTGTTAATACCCTATGAAAAAAATTTTAATACATTTTTAAAGCATGATTAGGGATATAGAAGGCAATTATAATACAAGCTTTTATCACCTAGAATTTAATAAATATATCTCATTTAGCTTCTTGGATACCAGACTGCTTTGTTTTTCCTTCATTGACCATTAATAGTCTTTCTGAACTGTTTTGCCTATAAATGTTGGATTGCTCCAGTAACATCTTTTCTTCTCTTTCTATTCTCCCTACACCTGCCTTGGCCATTAAATCATACATTTGATTGGGTGGACACAGGGAATCTGATAGATTAGTATAACAACCCAGGCAAAAATCCTAAAAGATGGTGCAGTAGGGGAATAATAATAGAAGTGGTAAGAAACAGTTGTACAGGGATGTATTTTTAAGGAGGGAGCTGATGGGATTTGCTGATGGATCTCTTAGAATGTAAGCCATCCAATTACATTTGCAAATCATTGGGGCTCAGAAACTTCCAGTAGCTTCTCATCACAGAGTAATCTCTGGAGTTTCTGATGACCTCACAGTCCTTATCTCCTTCTGCTGTTCCTCTTCCTCCTCCACTCTGGTGATGTCAGTCCCTTTGATTTCAGTTTTCCATTAAATTCTTGAGTATATTTTAGTTCTTTTCATAAATACTCAGGTTGGGATCTGATGTGATGGTTTCTTCTCTATTGCCAGACTTTTTAATTGTTGATTAACATAACTCTTCATCTTAATTAATGCTTTCTTTGTCTCACCTCACTTTTTTCCTTTATTTTTTACAACTTTTCACTTACTCAACTCTAGCCTCCTGGGTTTCTTATTGGAGCCTTTGAACTTAGTGTGACTCTGCTGAGTATGTTCTGCCTTTTGCAAGCATGGCTTGGATGGACCTCCTCATTCCAGGAATGTGCTTGAGTGTCATCGCTTCCCTATGGCCTCCCACTGGCTGCCTAAAGAGCCCACTGCCTACCTGAAGCTCCTTATGATTTTTCATCAACTCATATACTCTGTTAATTTTTTATAGACTTTTCAGGACTGATATTATCTATGTGTTGTTCAGCATTCTTTCTTGGGGACTTTGTTTTCTTCACTGCTCTGTTCCTGGTTCTAGTCATGCCTGGTACACAATAGGCACTTAATAAACAATATTTGAATGAAAATGGAATAAATAATATACTGATAATGCATGTGTAAAATAAGCCCAGAAGCAAAGTAATGTAATGGTGTAGAAACTTGTTTTCAGCTAGGAACCAAACACTATTAGCTTAAGTTAATAATGGTATTACCCTATTAACACATGTTGTTTACTGTGTGTCAGACATTTGATGCATTTCATCAAAATTAATTTC